TTTACGACGTAGTATACGCTACATGCGCTATGTGCGGTTTGCTGTGTGCGCTGTAGTTGTATGTTGTATGTGTATGCTTTTCTCATATACGCTGTCATTTTCACGCTATAACTACCTGGTGGTTTTAGTGTTAGTTATTCAGTTAGTTCAGTTCATTCCGTTGTTCATTCAGTTCATTCAGTTGTTCCATTCATTGTTCATTATTATTAGTCGATGGAAGTGAAAGATACTGTTGAGAATAAATAGTTGTCCTCGTGCCGTGTGGGGTCGTTCGTTCCTGATACTTAAGAGAACCAGAGGGTTCACAACATTTGGCGACCACGCCAGGATACGAAGCGAGCATGGCACAGGAACTATGGATCATTGAAGCCAGCTTTATCGCCAAAGGAATTCGGTATGGATTTGAAGGCGATAGGTTGAGAGAATACGTGGAGAAGAGGCTCCGACAGAGCGAGGAGTTTGAAGAGCGAAGTGCTAGACGGCAAGAGTGTGCGCTCCGCGCAGAGTTTAACGAAAAGCTCAGGAAGATGGCCGAGCGCATCGCCGTCAGTACATATTATGAGGAAGCAAAGCGAGATTTGCTTGCCTCGCCCGGAAGGACGCCGGACAAGGCGTGTAAGACTTTGCTTGCAGACAAGCAGCGGTCAGAGGAGTATTCGAAGCCAGTGGGAGGATCAGATCCAAGGCCCACTGGGTCGGTACAGTGCATGGCGACATCGGTCGGAGACGCTCAGAAGCAGCTGGAGTCTCGGCCGAACGACGTAGAGGCGCAAGACGTAGAGGCGCAAGACGTAGAGGCGCAAGACGTAGAGGCGCAAGACGTAGAGGCGCAAGACGTAGAGGCGCAAGGGTTAGAGGCGCAAGACGTAGAGGCGCAAAAGTTGGAGGCGCGAGAGTTGGAGGCGGAAGAGTTAGAGGCGCAAGAGTTAGAGGCGCAAGAGTTAGAGGCGCAAGAGTTAGAGGCGCAAGAGTTAGAGGCGCAAGAGTTAGAGGCGCAAGAGTTAGAAACGCAAGGCGTAGAAGCCGGGAAAATGAGAAGGGCGATGCTACTGGTTAGCACGGAAGAAGTAAGCGGCGAGACTGTGTGGAACACAGAGATCCGACGTGTGTCCTCGGATTCCGCGCCCGCCCCGGTTCGAAGCAGTGTACCGGTGACCATGTCGTGTGTGACAGCCCACATCGTCGAGCTTTATGACATTATCGGTTGTGTGTTGTCTGGTCCAGCGTCTGCCCCATGTCGAAGTGGATCGGTGACAGTGTCGTGTGCGACAGTCCACAGCGGCAAGCTTCGCGATGTCGAGTTTTCTGAATTGGTGGGCATTAGTGATATTCTACCATGGCCACCACCGCAGCAGCAGATGACGCGTAGTAAGCCCCAAGTCGTTTGACTTGTGAGTTGTTGTACGGCGGTGAGAAGCCCTTTGGTGGGGAGAATGTTGTGAAACCACAAGTTCTCGAGAGTGAAAGGCCTTCTCGCTTGTGACATTGTGTTCGTGACAATGCAGTTGTATCCCGACGCCATCGTACCGCTGATGTTTACGACGTAGTATACGCTACATGCGCTATGTGCGGTTTGCTGTGTGCGCTGTAGTTGTATGTTGTATGTGTATGCTTTTCTCATATACATGTACGCTGTCATTTTCACGCTATAACTACCTGGTGGTTTTAGTGTTAGTTATTCAGTTAGTTCAGTTCATTCCGTTGTTCATTCAGTTCATTCAGTTGTTCCATTCATTGTTCATTATTATTAGTCGATGGAAGTGAAAGATACTGTTGAGAATAAATAGTTGTCCTCGTGCCGTGTGGGGTCGTTCGTTCCTGATACTTAAGAGAACCAGAGGGTTCACAACAAAGCCCATGCTTGCTACTGTGGCTGAGTCATCCTTTCATGGCAGACGAGCAGGAGTCCATGCATCTGCCAACCTCAATCTACAGTACACTTACATGGCCAAACATGCTTCAGAAGGTATGTGTGATTCCATGTGTCTAATAATATTATGATGTCAATTGGATAATTGATTCTACAATCATGTAGATCTACTTTAAATTATGACGCGGTTCTTGGAGTGCGCTTCACTATGGGCTTTGGTTAAAATATGGGTTGTATTTTATTAATAATAATAATAATAATAATTTACATATACATGTATATCTCCAGATTGAGTGTAATTAGGTTACTTTTAGTATTGTAAGATCAAAATCGCATGCTCTATGTATGGCTAGTGTGGGTCGGCCATACCTACTTTCACAAAATGCAGACTCCATCCATTCCGCGAAGCCAATGCTTGCTTATGTGGCTGAGTCGTGGCGAACGAGCAGGATTCCATGCATCCGTCACTGGCAGTGCACACTTAGCTGGCCACATGTTCTTACCAAAAAGGTTTGAACTGGCAGGTACGCGTAGGGCCATGTGTCTAGTATGAATCAAGTGGCATACATGTAGAGGTACTTCGAAGCAATAATAATTATAAATCATGTCATTTCTTGGAGTCGGCTACGCCATGGTCTTTGGATCCATATACATATACATGGACATTGTATTTTGGCGACTATCTACAAGTAAAAGAGAGGTTGGTGCTACTTCGGCGATACAATTCCCTATCCACATTGTACATGTATCTCTCCCTGCCACATCTTCACCTTTTAGTCTCAGCTCTTTCCCTCTCCCTTCTTCTCGGCTCTTTCGACTCTATAAAATTTAATATCAAACAACCTGATTCACTCTGTCACATTATAAGATGCACATGCATGCGCGTACGTATTAAATGTGTCTCTTGGTGTAGGCGTAGCTCTGGTGATAAAACCGAGATCAGAGAGAGTGAGCCAGCTGAGCTGAGCTACGAAATGCGTGCAACTAGATAGCATAGAGTAATGAAGCTTCACCAGGAGATCACCGCGGCAGAACGAGCACTCGAGGGAGCTGTACGGAGGGGAGATAAATTAGTTCACGGCTACTTCAGTTTGTGTCATTGTTCCTAGTTGACCTACCCGAAATAAATAACTCACGTATCCTAACCCGAAATCAATCAGTACTATCTGTTCTTGGTTCAGTCGCTTTGCCCCTAGTAATATGTAACAGTAACTATTCGCTCTATAGGAAAATCTACCGATAAGCACATAAAATACGTTATGCTGATGCTGCTGCAAAAACCTTTAAAAAAATATAATTTTAAAGACTGGACATTGGTTTACATAAGGAAGTAGAGCATCAGGCAGCAGCGCGAGTCAGTGTCGCACATGGAGTTGTGAGAACTGGCTCAGCTGCCTAGTACTCACGAGGTGTTTGTTGGGCTGGAAGCGGATCGTCACTCTAAAGTCTGAGTTGGTATCCCCAGTGATGTTTTGGCTCGGAGAGCACTACATGATGCAGTGCTCTCAAAGCAGAAATTTCATTAGTCTACTCAAGGTCATCTGATGACGGATGAATTCCCCCAAACACTGTGTACCGGTATTGAGCAGGGAGTGTGGCATTCTTTCAAGTTTGCCGAGTGGAAGGTTCGACGGGCTTCTCGCGTGCTCCAGACGCAGTCGTGAGGAAATCAAGTGTCAAGTCAGTCGGCAGGAAGCGCGAGCTCCGACGTTCGGAGCAGACTCTTTCTTCAAGAAGAAGAACAACTCGCATATTACTCAGAATTGAGCTCTATGCATCTGTGAGTGAAAAAGGGTTCCGTTCGTGTCTGTTTTCGGCTAATAGCAATAATATAAAATGCACGGTTCGAGTCAGACTCGGCTAGAGACAGAGTTTCTCGCATCCGTAGGAACGCCAACACCTTCAAGGATCAATTCGCAGATGCAGATGCTAAAGGGGTGAGAGGTGAGGAGATCAGACCCACCAAACTGGTCAAAGACCTAAAACCCCATTCACTGGATACATTCTTCCCTAGTGTCAGGTCACAAATTCCCTGTTGGTCGCAGCACGGCTGGAAAAAATCCTTCCGCTTCCAAGCAGGACTTGAACCTGGTACCCTCTGTTTCTCAATCATGGTGTTAGACCATCCCACCATGCTTGCCGGTAGATGATAGCCCGTGGTTAAACATGTATGTGCGTAAAGATAAACTACTTCAGACTAGAAATATTGCACTGCTGCGCATGTTTTGCCAAGCATGTATTTAGAGCTTTAGGGCCTCCATAGGGCAGCTGTATATCAAGATCAATGTAAATGTGTGTGTGTGTGTCTTTGTGTGAGTATGTGTGCGTGCGTGTGTGGATTTAGTATGTGTGAGCGTGTTTGCTGAATGCTTAGATTTGAGGATATCATTGTATTTTAGCAACATTTTCGTGATTTGTACCCGGACATATTGGTTTCCAATTCTGCCAAGATTCGAACTTTCACTGCCTTTCACTGTCTTTTGCAAAGAATGAAGTGCACGTGCACCGAGCGGCTTACTACTGATAGAATGTTATCCACTCTTGCAGCGTAGAACATGGATTGACTGATTTTGCCTTGAGTGCTTATGTTGCATTAGTATTATTATTATTATTATTATTATTATGAAATGACCCAAAGGCAATGTGCCTATCGAGGGGTTCATTTGATTGAAAGAACAGTAGATGTAGATGTATGTACAAAGAGAAGTAGGAATTGATGTATACAATTACTTGAAGTACTACTACATCCTCGCCAGACAAATCATGCCCTTTCATACATGCCGACATCCATGGTATATCCAGTTGAACTACTACAGTTGAACGTCGATTATCCGACCACCTCTGGGCAGACAACTGTCAGGCGGTGTTCAGATAAGGCAAATGTTCCGGATAAGAAAACACACTGTAAATACATGTACATGCACATTGTAAATAGAACAGAGTGCTACTTTTCAAATTTTTTCTTATTTCTTGAATGGCTCACTACATGCACAGTGCGTACTCTACGGCACGTGCGCCCAAAAAAACTGTTACGGATAATCGAATGGTCGGATAGTCGATGTGCGGATAATCGATGTTCAACTGTACCTCTATTCCGATTTTTGTTCAACCATCCAATCATGAGGATCACTTGGTGCTAAGCAGATAGAAAGTGGGAACTTCATTCATTTTCGTATGCCGCAGAGACAAAATAATGAAGTCTGAACATAATGTGACGGATGAAGGAACGTTGGCAAATCTGAGTAGAAAGTAGTGATGTGAGGGCGTTGTGAGATCCCCTATCAGATCGCAGCAGTGTTTACTACAAGCACTGTACTTATCCATGTACATGTACCGATTATTACTGTTGTCCTGACTTACTATAGTCATAACACCCTGACTACATTCATGCATAAATGTTCAAAGATTCAGCCAAAATCAAAGACAACTGGGTGCGGTACAAGCTTTATACACGTATCTCCATGCTATATTCCTATTTCGGCATATACATGTAAAGAGGTGTAGACCCTGGCTAGCGACATACGCTTCTAAAGTAACGTCTTCTTGCATAGCTTTGGGAATTAAAGGTCTTGTTTGCTCCGGTTGATTTCATCACTGTAATGTGTACTACAGCTGCAGGTGTGCTGTGCCGCATCTTCTGTGATACCTTCTGCTTGCTATTGGTAATGTCTGATAGTATCAGGAAAGTAGTTTCCACTATGGTGATGGTCATCGTCATCGTCATCATCGTGACGGCGGTGTGGTGGCGGTGGCAGTGGTGGTTTAAGGTTCGTAGAAATCACTTGAATCCATACGTTCGCATGCGGATGACGGATTTCTGAAAGTCTAGATCAGTCTGAACTTCATCTCGGAGTATAGGACCCACTTAAGAAAGCGAGGGTGATAGTAGTTGGAGGAGATGGCTTGTCCGTATTCGCCATTTAGAAAGAAATAGTAGCATCCACTGAACCACCAACCACCGCTCCAGTACGTAGCACAAGAATTTTGTTCTCTACCATGGTCCTCAGTGCTGAACGTGTCTCCGTTATGCTGGGTAACCTTATCTGGTAGTGTCGTACTGAAGAAACCCGACACGTGAAGTGTATAGTTGGTGGCTTCGCTGTCCACTTTGAAAGATGAGCACGTGGCGGAATGCATCTCTTCGCTAGTATTGAACACCAAGTCCAGGCGCAGCTCGTATCTCGTACTAGGTTGAGAGGTTAGATAATGTATGTCTTCCAAGCCAAGCCAGAATTCCTCAGTGGGATTGCCGAAGCCGTTCTTGTACGATTGCCAGTTTCGATCAAAATCAACGGAACCATCCTGCCGTCGCTGGAAGACAATCCAGCCGCCACCATCAGTTTCCCGATCGCAATACGCAGTGCTTTCACCCCGATTGGTACGGAACGTGAATACTCCTGAAGGGCCTTGGTCAGTCCTCGAGCAGCCCTGTGCACCTAAAACACACAAGGTGGCAACAGAAAAAAATGTTGCATTTTACACGTGGATGTTTGCCGGCTCCCACTATTTTGGGGATAGTGGCATAGCATCTATATCTACATGTATCATTTCAACACTCGCTTCGCACACATCCTTTTCCATTTGCTATGTTCCTAGTGTATACACATCCATTAAAATCCAAATGCATGTCTTACTGGCTGTAGTGTCGGTAGAGAGTGCCGGGGAGACGGTGGTACTTTCGTCCTGAGTATAGCCGTAAAGAACAGAAACCAAAGAGAGGATTTACATGCATTGTGGGCAAAATTGGAGAAATCATACATGTACATGTACGTGTACATCATGAGGTGTGCAATCCCGTTTGCCATAGGCGTAGCTCGTACCTTTTACTTCTTCTAGAACAGGACATACAGTGTAGAGGAAAATGTCGACCCTGTGAGTTGTTTTAGAATAATTATGTTACGTTTTTATCAGTATGCCACTTCCTTCATTATCGTGTCGTGGTTGTTTGAGTGGAAAGGCCTCTAAGTGTGAACTTGTTGACCATACTTTAACTTCTAAAAGGAGAGTTGGGGCACTAGGTAATGGAAATATGCAGAGTCAGGCACTGCACTGAGGGGCGACCATTGACAATTAGGACCACTTTTCAGCACTTAGAAAAATGCGTGGCGTACATGCACTATGTAGTTGGCAATTTTAGTTGGCAATCAACCTGTGAAAAAACTGACAGACATTCTCAGAGTACATACACTCACGGTCTGTTGTTCGTTTCCATGGAGACGGGAGATTTCATTTGATACTACATCAATTTTCTTCTCCAGCCTTGCCAAGAAATCTCCAATGTGATCCATATTGGCCTTACGCTCTGCTTCTGCTTCTCTCTTTAACTTCTGCATGTCTTGTTTGAGCTGAATGGCCATAGCTGATTGATTGCAGTTACCTGGCGTATCTCGTGGTCCTGAACACAAACATCCATTATTATACTATGATAAGTTCGTTTCACGCACATTTCTACCAATGGTGATGAAACACCCAGACTTGATGACTGCAAGATGAACTACCTGTAAACCTTTAATTAAGTGATTTATTTAATATTGCGTACTGCACTAGCATTGAACACCTGTATTTTGTAATCGGTGAAAGTCATGGCAACCATGAAACCCTTGTACAGCTTCATAATGTGCCTTAAACAGATTGGTGTGTTGTTGTTTATTTCTATTTTACTTCACAAGACCAAACGGGAAATGGTGCCCAATTCTACGGAAGTGAGAGAGCGAGGGAGAGAGAGAGAGAGAGAAAGATAGAGAGAGATGGGGGGGGGGGAGTTACAGAGGCAGAGAGAGGAAAGCAGAGAGGTTAGGGGTATCGTCGAGATGGATTGTATGGATGTATGTTGTATGTATAACTCATAATCACAAGGTGATCGTAGAGGAATTAATCAGCGAGAGAATTGTGAATGATGTCTCTGAATCCAACTCTATCGTGTGCTGCATGAGAGAGAGAGCATGCAAGGGAAGACCCGTCCAACTTTTAATGTTAGAAATCCATGATGTCGCGGGCCTTCCTCTCGATCGAGATCCAGGAGTTCATCCTTGCAGGAAGGGCTTGGAGAAAACGTCATGTCTCGTAACATGGCCAAACCACATCAACTTAAATTTCTTGACTTCGTTCGCTAGCCGCATCCTTGCTCCGATGATGTCATTGATTTCTTCCAGGATAGATTGGTTGGTACGCCGGTCGTGGTATGTTACTCCTAAGAGTCGGCGGAAGCATTTCATCTCGAAGGATGAAATTCTTCTCATTGATGAGGCAGATGAGTGGTGCGTTTTTGGCGCATCAACGTGTGGTTGGGGGTAGCAGCGAAGAACAAATTCTATGTAATTTAGTATGATATGTGAAGGCTGCAGAAACCCACACAATGCATATCTCTGTCTTCTCAGACCACTGTCGGTGTGGAAAGTCATGTAAATACGCGACATGTATTATTTGGTGAACCGTTTGAAGGAGATCATGTTGCCAATTTTAATCTGGTAGTATATTGCATTTAGCAGCATGATATCCATGTTGATTTGGTGGCATTTTGCATTTAGAAAAATTATCTTCTACGTATAACAGGAGTATTTCTCGTGGCCTCCATATCAGTAGGATGTTTCAATGATTTGTTATTGTGTAGATCAGCTCTTGGGTGCCATGCCACGCTCGTGTACGCAATACGCCTCACTGCACAGATTCCAAAATATTTTCTTGCTGCAAAGCGAACAGGCCGATACTAGTGTCATCCTCAGTTATCTTACTTCAGTATTAGTTGCGCACGTCATTTGTGAGCAGCACAGAAGATATGCATGCGCTTTTGGGTTCTCTTTTCGTTGGTCCGTCTTGATATTTGTACTTCGTACTGTTGAGGCAACAAACATCAAACCAGAACGGAAATTGGTGAAGTACGCCGAAGCGTGATCTGAACAATGCTGGCCAGCGCCTTTTCTATTTTACTAATCACTCAACTTGGTTCAGAGCGTGCTAGTTGCACGTACCATGTACACATACATATAATGATGTTGCGTTCTCTAGAATCGCGTTTTATAATCCTGGCATAGACAAACAAAAGTAATGTGCCAGCGACTTACTTCAAGTACATGTACAATGTAGTTGTGAATGTACGTGTAGGACCGGGTACATGCACATGTGCTAGTGGAGTAGTGCACACGTTCTCAAGTGCGTGAATACATGTACAAAGTCATGTAGATGTGTCATAGCCCGAGAGTGAGGGCTTGTAACTTACTTCTGATAGCTACTGTGCGTAGAACTTCAACACACTATGCCTTCCGTAGTTGGAACAGTTATTGTACAATATACTATACGGTGTGTGCCAGCTATATCACCTACCTTTAGAATGATAGGTTTGGCTGTCAATAGATGAAGCGCACGACTGTGCACTTGCGGTAGAAAGTGCAATACAATGTAATTATGAACTCGCAATATAGTAGTAGTACGCGAGGTGTGGATGAGCGTGAGTGCACCTACTTGACCACTTGGTTGGCAATGCTTTTAATCAGGTTATTGCAGTCCAGACGCCGGGTGTAGGCTCTCCCCTTTCAAATACTCTTTCACACTTTGCATATCTTATCATGATGACAGCCGCTTCTAGATCACGCATACCTATGCGTGTGCGTACGCGTGTCCGATCGGCGTTCCGCGCAGGGACCAAAGTACATATAGCAGTTTAGCTGCATGTGTGGTAAGTACTATCGCTACTGCCGCTGCTTGCTGTTTTCTACAATGTGTTATAATCATAGCATGCTGCTGCTTTTAGCGAGAGATTCTTTCGGTGCTCTTCTCCTAAACAGTGAACATATTCTCTGCTCTGACGAGATCAGTTGGTTATGTGTGTGTTGGGTTAGGACTGGGTGAAGTTGCGTTATGCCAGCCGTGACTATACTTGTCACAAAACGTTCAGAGGGTTAGAGACGACACAGCCAAGGGCGAGACTAACCGGAACACTCTCGACCGGGTTTGACAGATGTAAAGCCTATGGCCCGGCATGCACAGGAACGCATAAAGCTCGTATTCCATGTACATGTGTCATATCCGGCAATGCTACAACTGTGACTTTTCCTACTCATGACTAGATGTATGTTATTATTATTGTTGGCCGCGAGCATCATGCATGCAGAGCTGTCCTAACGTATCCCCTTACCTCTACATCTATGTACTTATTGTAATGTACTAGTAGTAGTATTGATCCACGCCGCCATCATCTTGCCTCTAGCTCTCCCCTGACAAATCAGTTGGTGACAGTGCGACATATTCATACCTATCACCGTCGTTATGGTCTGGTGCGCATATACATGTACGTCCGTACTAGTACTGAGTACTCTTAGTCCCGCTGATGACAACATAGGACCTCACCGTATAGCCGGTGCTATTGCTGTTGCACTGAACAATACATTAGCAGCGTAAGTGCTTCTCAGCTGGCATTGTCGTTCGCTATTGCATTATAACCCGCGCTGATGTTTACTTCATGTTTTTAGCTAAGCTTACAATAGGAGGTGTTCGTAGCCGCTAGGGTCACTTCTCGTTTCTCCCTCTTCTTGTCCGGGGCAATAAACGTCCTTTAGGTTACGGTGACCTTGTTGTGTGAGTGGTTGGGCAGTAGCCGTATATTGCAGCTGAACGCTACTACTAGCGGGATACCCGGTTACGACATTTGGCGCTGCGAGCAGGGTCTGCCCACCACTCTACAAAGGATGGCGGAAACTAGCAATTGCCAGGCAGAAGAGGTCCGGAGGGCGCTCCGCGATGGAGCGGCGGCCTTGGAGGCAACCGGGCGCGAACGGCCTGCCACGCTGCTGCGGAGGCTGCGTGGCGAGCTGGTTCGGTTGCAGCGGTCATCGGAGGGCTTCTTCTCCTCCTTCGTCGGTGCGGATGCCGGCAGGAGTGAGGATTCCCCTCCGGTACCAAGGCGGAACGGTTCCCTACCCCAGAAGCGGCGACGAGAAAGCGAGGAGTCTGCCAACGTCGCACCAGGAAAGAGGTCCTGTTCTGACCGACGGCGGGTGAAGCGGGAGGAGCGGTGGCAGGCGCATTTGGCCAAGCGAGGTTGGCCTGCGGAGAAGCCTCGCGGTGAGGCGGCGGCAACAGTTGCCGCAACTACTGCTGCAGCTGCCGTGGTGGCAGCCGGAAGTGTGGCGGGAGTTGTCAATGCTGCACCTCCCAAGAAGCCCTCCTATGCTGACGCGGTCCGCGGCGGGCCAGAAGGTCAAGGTGACCAGGTCGCGATGGACCTGGACACCGATCTCGATTACGGAGGCACGGAAGACGAGGAAGAGGTCAGCGCAACCTACACCGGTCGGCTACGGTCGGTGGTCGTTAAACCAGTCCGGCCACCACCGCCACCACCGCCGGCACCTTCAGCGGAACCCCAATGAGCGCCTGCTCACGCGGACATCGTGTATACTGACTTGTATGTATTGCTAACGCATGATCTACATGTGCATGTATCATGATGTATGTCTACCTGTCCTTCAATGAACCAATGCTTGGATATGAACTAGCCTGCGGCATGCTGTTGTGCTGTGTGCGTCACCTGCTTGCGGTTAGCAGTCACTTGCTCGCATGGGTTCAGTTACGGGTCGTGACGGAAACTCTGGCAAGGCTTTAGACAAGGTGTGGAACTGCGGTTAGTTCCAAATCATGTATCAGCATTGACTGTGGTTCTGATCAGTCTGAGTAGGTGTCATGGTTGGTTGCGTTGTCTGTACGTCTAGAGGCTTGTTGTTACCCTTGAGGGCATTGGTGGTTTGTTCGGAACAGCGCTCTGATAAGGGTCTAGTGGTTGTGATTCGGTGTGATCCGATGGAGTTGATGTATCCTGGGAGCCTGTGGTTAGGTCAGGTTACAGTTGACGAGGATAATTTATTAAGAGTCTGGTGGCGCCACCAGGGATAACGATGTACTAGGGTACTGTGTGCGTGTGTGTGTGCGTGTGGACCGAATGCACAGAGGTCAGAGTGTCGGGACGGCTAAGGTAACAATGGACAGCTCTTGATGAGCTGGTCGTGGGCGATCGGGAGTATCGCGCGAAGACCTGGGTCTTCGGTGGGCCGCTAGGAAGTGCTAGCGGGCCCAGTGATAGTATAAAGCAACGTGTTCGTCGCTGGGGAGTCAGTTGGTGGTTGTTGTACCTTGTTTCCTGACGGATTGTGCCTGGGTCCTGTCGTCCCGCGTTTTCTTTTTTTTGTGTTCTTAATTTGTTGTGTGCGTGAGAGGTGCGATGGCTCAACGAGGGCAAAACCAGGGTGCTGCCGGTGCAGCGCCCGTAGGTGGTGGTGCCGCTGCTGCTGTGGGGGCAGCTGCGCTTGGAGGTGTTCCTGCTGCAGGAGCCGCTCCAGCGAGAGCAGGCGGCGCGGTTGCTCGGCCTGCTGTTATGCCAGAGACCTTTGATGGAGAAGGAGATTGGCAGGAATACTTGGCCTATTTCATACAGTGTGCGGAAGTCAACGGATGGCAGGATCCGCAGAGGGCCCAGTTCCTTGGGGTGAGGCTGCGCGATGCGGCTCGCCGGTTCTTCACTACCTTGCCTGCTGCTCGACGAGTGAATTGGCAACATCTCTGCGCTGATATGGGAAATCGGTTTGCCTCTGCTGCGGTTGCAAACCAGTACAAGGCCCAATTCCGTACGCGGCGACGGAAGGCGGGTGAGGACCTACTGCGGGTCGCTGATGATCTTCGTCGCTTAGTCGTCTGGGCTTACCCTATGATGCCAGATGCGGTTCGCGATGATTTGGTGCGAGACCAATTTATCGAATCTCTTACTCCAGTGGCACACTTGCCTTGTGTATATTGACGACATCATCGTCTTTGGCCGTACGTTCGTTGAGCAGCTTACCCGGCTGGAAGAGGTGTTCGCCAGGCTGGCGACAGCTGGACTCCGTCTCAAACCTAGTAAGTGTCACCTCTTTAAAGATGAGGTTGAATTCCTAGGCCATGTTGTAACGCGGGAGGGAGTTAAGACTGACCCCGCCAAGGTACATGTACACCAACTCGTCCACTGGGCCCGTCCTGCTACAGTTTCAGATGTCCGTGCTTTCCTAGGCTTCGCTGGTTATTATCGTCGTTTTGTTCGTGATTTTGCAACTCTTTGTCGGCCCCTCCATGCACTAACTCAGCAGGGACGCTCGTTTGAGTGGACAGACGAATGCGAGCACGTATTTTGTACATTGAAGGACAAGTTGTCCCGTGCCCCAGTGTTGATGTACCCTCGTTATGGGTGCGATGCCCCACGTTTTGTTCTAGATGTGGATGCTAGTGGGGTGGGGTTGGGCGCGGTGCTCTCCCAAGCTGATTCTGAGGGCTGCGAACGGCCCGTGGCTTTTGCCAGTAGATCTCTTACCGACACGGAGCAGCGGTATGCGTCCACAAAGAGCGAGTTGCTCGGCATTGTTTGGGCCTTCCGGCACTTCAGGTGCTATTTGCTGGGTAGGCCATTTCTGGTGCGCACGGACCATCGCGCGTTGGAGCACTTGTCTCGGTTTAAGGATCCCCCTGCGATTATCGCGCGTTGGTTAGAGTTCCTCAGTGAGTTTGATTATGTTATGCAGTATCGTGCGGGGCGGTCCCATGCCAACGCCGATGGCCTATCCCGACTTCCTGGGAAGGCGTCTGCGGTGGCTTCTGTCTCTGCTAATACGGTGGCAGAGCATGTAGTACCCTCACCTTTGGTGCAGCGTCGCGGTTGGACGTTGCAGGACTGGCGCGACTGCCAGAGCAAGAGACACGGATTTGTCTCAGTTAGCTACGTTGCTCAGCGGTGATGAATCTGCTGAGGTCGCGGACTTGACAGGTGTCAGTCCTGCTTTCCCGTCTTACTGGCGAGGACGCCAGCGCATGTTCGTTTGGGAGGGGGTGGTGTGCAGAAAGTGGGAAGATCCATGCGTCTCTGTGCCACCCAGGACCCAGGTACTGGTTCCGGTGAACCAGAGGACTGCGGTTTTGTCTGAGTACCATGACCACGGGGGTCATTGGGGAGTACAACGCACGTACGCGCAGTTATCGCTAAGGTTTCACTGGTATGGAATGAAACGGGACGTCGAAGACTGGGTCGCAAGCTGTGAATCGTGTAGCCAGAGACGTAAGCCAGCGCAGAGAGGGCGAGGCGCCCCTCTGCAAGTAACATGGTGTGGCTACCCTTTCGAAAGGATTGCTATGGATCTTATTCCTAACCTGCCTGAAACTGTGAGAGGCAACAAACACATCTTAGTTATCGCAGATTATTTTACTAAATGGGTAGAGGCCTACCCACTACAGAGGATGGACGCCGAAACCATTGCCTCAGCATTTGCTAGCGAGTTTGTTGCACGCTATGGTGCGCCGGAAAGTATACATACAGATCAAGGCCGGAATTTTGACTCTGCTCTGTTCAAACACGTGTGTAGCCTGTTGGGTATTAGAAAAACACGCACCACAGCGTATCATCCAGCCAGCGATGGTCTCGTGGAGCGTTTCAATCAGACGCTCGAGAAGGTCTTGTCACACTATGTGTCGGATCACCAGCGGGATTGGGACACACACTTGCCCGCCATGTTGTTGGCGTACAGGGCCACGCCACAAACCAGTACCGGAGGAGGTCGAGCCCGTGGGTGATTCCGGATGCAACCCCGCTAAAGTTCGACAACCTGAAGCGTACCAACCCGATGCCACAGACCTTCTGTACCGGGACGAGTGCGATAATGGCGAAACTTATGGTGGTGAGCCTGCCGTTATGGCACAAGCGCATGCTCCCATTCCTCAGCTGCCACCAGTAGTTCAGCTGCCACAAACGCCTTATGCCATGGCGCGGCCGCAAAGGAATCGTAGACCGCCGGCACGGTTCTGATATTTCATGTTCTTAGAGAAGGTGCTGTGAACTATTATAATAATCATGTGGCATTAGCAATACCATAATTACCGTTCCTAAAACGAAAGTGTTAGTGAAATACGTTGGGTAGGTTTAAATTCCCTTCTTTCCCCTCCATTCATTGCTTGCGCTACGCGGACTCTCTGTACAGTCTTTTCCATTTGTTAGTTATTCCACCTTTGCAAAACACGAGGACGTGTCTTTTGCGAAGCCGGGGGAGATGTCATATCCGGCAATGCTACAACTGTGACTTTTCCTACTCATGACTAGATGTATGTTATTATTATTGTTGGCCGCGAGCATCATGCATGCAGAGCTGTCCTAACGTATCCCCTTACCTCTACATCTATGTACTTGTTGTAATGTACTAGTAGTAGTATTGATCCACGCCGCCATCATCTTGCCTCTAGCTCTCCCCTGACAAATCAGTTGGTGACAGTGCGACATATTCATACCTGTCACCGTCGTTATGGTCTGGTGCGCATATACATGTACGTCCGTACTAGTACTGAGTACTCTTAGTCCCGCTGATGACAACATAGGACCTCACCGTATAGCCGGTGCTATTGCTGTTGCACTGAACAATACATTAGCAGCGTAAGTGCTTCTCAGCTGGCATTGTCGTTCGCTATTGCATTATAACCCGCGCTGATGTTTACTTCATGTTTTTAGCTAAGCTTACAATAGGAGGTGTTCGTAGCCGCTAGGGTCACTTCTCGTTTCTCCCTCTTCTTGTCCGGGGCAATAAACGTCCTTTAGGTTACGGTGACCTTGTTGTGTGAGTGGTTGGGCAGTAGCCGTATATTGCGGCTGAACGCTACTACTAGCGGGATACCCGGTTACGACACATGTAACTGTATACATGTGAAGTAATTCTGTTTATACCAACATTGGGTTTTTGATGTTGTGCCTGCTGTACATTTTTTTAAAGTCTCACCACAAACAGGCAACTAAGGTTTCTTACATATACATACATGTGTGTGACTATAATATTATGAATAACTATTGCGGAGTGGAAGGTGCGACGTGCTCCTCGTCTGCTCTGGATGGCAGTCGTGGGTCAGTCAGGTTCGGCAAGAAGCTTGTGTTCCTAGTTGGAACAATCAACTTCATGATTATTACCGCCGAAGTCGCAGCTTCTAAGTTTCGCATTGATTTCTATTTGAAGTAATTGCACGCTTTCAACCATAGCAACAACAATAACTCACTGATAACGACACTCTGCATGCTCGAGGGGCGTTATTCGCAAAGTAACTTAGTTCACTTTTAATGTTAACTGAATGAATTTATTTACCTGTCTCGCAGTAGTCTCCTGTGTAGCCAATGTCACACTGGCACCCATATGAGCCAATGTGCTGACCAGACCGCGAGAAGATACATTGTCCAGCGTTACTGCAAGGATGATTCCGCTGGCAGGCCTGTAATTGCCCGGCTGTTAAAACAAATTGTACATACATGTACATGTGCACATACCGTTTTAAAATACACGTTAAGTCCCCCTTGAGTGATATTGCTCTATACTTGTGGTGTTCAACACTCTAGGAAATCTGGGAGTTCTTGCCCTTGTAACGTTAAGATGTGCATTCCTTCTTGTTGATTCACCACTTCCGCTGATACTGATACGAGAGAATTGCAGACACTAGTACTAGATGCTCCTACGCCGGTGGTGTCAGGTGGATTTACCTACATAGGGCTACATATTTTGTGATGGACAATTGTCAATTAACGGTACTAGAATCGAATTGGCCTGCTCGATAGGGCGCTCATACCAAAGCCCTATGAAAATCTAGCATCCTGGAAGCTTAACTAGCTTCTAGTACCAGTAGAAGCCCCTGATCCGTCCAGCTCGTCATGCACGACTCCTCTGTACTGCCGAATGTGTCTATACTTCAGCCACCAGTGCAGACTATGCTCTTCACAAATCGAATGTTTCACTCCGCCGTCAACACGCTTCTTAGGCTGCCCGAATTTCGATCTGAATGTACATCCCCACTGACTTGCTCAGTAAAGGGTGCCTGGAAAGAGAACGCTGCCAGCATATTGAGTAAGCCCAGAGATGTCTATTAATTTCGAAGCCAATTTCGTTTACAGTAAAACCAGGTTTAAGCGACCACCCCACGGTGCAAGGAAAAGCGGTCGTTGAAGCCAGGTGGTCTTTAGAACCATGTCCCACAGTGTCGGTGTAGAACTGTCGGTGCATGGAAAAACGGTCGTTAAGGGCAGGTGGTCGGTAAAACGAGAGTTCGCTTACACCAGGTTTTACTGTATTTCTGTATCTCACCTGCACATCACTTTTAGTCTTTATAGTTGTACTTCAGAAATTCAACTATGGATCCTACTATTCTCTGATGATCGCTTAACGCGTAAAAACTCCGAGCAGCACAACATGTTCATCCTCTTATTCTTGTATGGATCACACGCACCCATTGTTTATTCTCTGCACACAGAAGTAATAGTAGAGTATAAAAAAATTATACAATTGCGAGTGTGATATGTTTTAAAACGTTATTGTGGTGTTCCACATTGGTGTAATTTGGCGAAGTCTAGTATGACCGTTTCAAGTTCACGTGTGTTTTTAGTGCGTGTAAATTCACTGTACGTTGTATGCCCGGCACACATTAATTTGATGAAAGTTATACATGTATATGTCCCGATTCTATGTAACATTGTTCTAACTTACTGAGACACTGTATCAACTTCCTGGATGTATCACCACCCAGCAGTACAGACAGAGCGACTTGGTTTGCCTGCTGGGCGTTTCGCTGATCAACAGGAGGCGGTATACTCTTCAGCAGCAGTTCAACTTGCGATCGACTGAGGGTGGTATCGGGTAGAAGCCCCAGAACGCGTCCCATGCATGTTTCTGTGTGTGGCGAGGAACAAACACGACATATAGGTACCATTAGAGGTGTAGTATCATAATATTGTCTTGGAGACTGTACTTAATTTAAGTACTTGATGTATTTCGAGGTACGAGCATTTTGATCAGCTGCAGAGGCAGAGCACATTAGGCTACACATTAGGTTAAACACAGACCATGGTGTTTACTCCGCAAATCGCCAGAACCGTAGCCATCGACATACATGTAGGATACATTGACACCTTTATGAGGATAGACTGCGACGGGGAGCTAACAGACTCGTAAATGCAACCATATTGGTGGGTCATTCTTCATTTCACAATATGACTTAGGAAGCTATGTTCAACATTAGATACCAAGGAAACTAAACTCGGATAATGAGCCAGTATGAAATGTAAACTAGAAGAAGAAAACATATGGAAACGAGTTATAATTTTTACATTCGTGGAAAGTTGCTTCATAACTCGTTTCCATGTGTTTTCTTCTTCTAGTTTACAAAGGAAACTGCCTAGCAAAACATCTTCCAATACAAACATTTAGTGCTAAGTGTTTTACCTTTCGTATTCGTGGAGATGACGTTCTGTATCGCCGACAGCATTACAGAAGCTGAGAGCAGGGTGATTGGGCCCGCCGTCCACTTCATGATTTGGTTCTCTGATTCCCCGACTAATGGGGTTTGAAGGTTCCAGGACCAGAATAGGAACAGACATACAGTGCCAGGCGAAGCTGAAGAGAAGGATTTTAAAATGACAAGTTGCTTTACCAGGTCGGCAGAATATATACGGCCCTTATTCTCATAAGCTCATGCATCTCCGCTGTCAGCTAAATCGTAAGTTGACAAGATTTATGAATTGACCAGAGGACCACTTTTCTATTGTGCATTTGAACGGTTCCAAGACACCTCCGACGGTGTTGAGTGGTCTAGAACAAGTTACATCAGAAACTTCCGAACGGTAATTCAGACCTTGTTCAAAGCCACAGGACAACATACCATCGCCACCTAAGATACAGCACACACCGATACAGCACAGACCGATACCTGTAAATGCAAATGTATACAGGCACCCACATGTAAGCATTCTTGCACAGACAGAAAAATGCTTACTCATAAGATAATTTATAGAAAAAAGAAAGACCAATGAACTACAAGTTACGCTATACTGTCCACTAACACCACCAGTTACTAAACAATAAGATCATGCGATAACATTGCACAACACTGACCCACCGCACTGACGTTCTACAACTACATGTACATTGTAACTGGCTAACGGTTCTAGCATATCTTGGATGCGCACTCCAACAGCACTGTTATCGCATGATCTGGTTGTTTAGTAACTGGTGGTGTTAGTGGACAGTATAGCGTAACTTGTAGTTCATTGGTCTTTCTCTTTTGTATCAATTAAACCTTTGCTCTCCGTCTGAGTACATAAAATAATGTAATTCAAATAGAACCACATTAACATGTCAGTTTTGTGCCCTGTTATCGCACTGTGTGACTGCGTATTATCTTCTTACAGTCGTAGATAGTTCCTTCATAACTCATTGCCATGTGATTTTTTCTATTTGAATTATATTTATTGGTTCAGTATCCGAGTTAAATTCACACATACATTTACAGTATTTGTTCATGTATATGTACATGCATGGAAACACTGCTGCTGACCAAATCCCCCATACTTTTGCTCTGCCTGTATCGAGGGTCAGGCACGAGGGGTACATGGATGCAGCTAATGGGGTCGTTCTCGGCACTTATGCCAGTGGTTGTGCGACTTATCCACTCACCCCCACCGTTAGGCGCTGCATCTGCCGCTAGGGTTTACCGGGTGTTAGCGGCCGTCGTGAGTTCCCCACGATCATTTACTTTTTTTATCGAGGTCAAATTGTCTTGCTCTAGCGTGTATCATTACTATGTTAAAAGCAATGTATAGCTCAAAAGGTCCACAAATAGCACGGAGAAAGGGTCTCAGAACGCCAAGTAATAGACACGTTAGACATGATGCCATGGGTTTTTAACTGGGTGCCCCTTTCGCTCCATTCCTTGCAAATGTATTACTTATCCCCTGGTGACTTACTCATATTCATGTATGAGAACCGCAATCAAGTGGATAAACGCATTCCGCATGATTGTAGTGACTGTATTGAAGCAGTGGCGGCCGATGGAAACAATGTTCCGTGAAAATATTAATGCAAAAAGAAACAATAATTAAAGAGAAAACGAAGAATGCAGAAGTATTCCAATTGCCAACACTTTGTCAGGCAACACTCATCAGGAATCCTCGCTGGGCTAAGGGACAAAGCGTCACAAACGAATTTTCTTCGAAACCCAAAGAAAGACATCTTACGCCTACATGTAATAGAATTAGAAGCATTGAAAAATGCAAGTTTGAATTGCGACAATGAACATTACGCCGAGACCTGTAATAACAACGCCTGACCACACCGAACACACAAAACACTACTTAAACGATGGGAGAATTGTACCCATTAAGGGGAGGGGGTGCAGTCCCATGCTATTTTACAAAATAAATAGCATTTAATTGGCAGAAACCCCTCTGCAAACGAATGGAATACCTGCACTTAGACGGTAGAGCCAACTCCTGCCCACGCCTGCATTGCAATGTACTCGCAAGAAAACCGGGTTCCCGTCGTACCCGTTCCGTTATGAGTCTGTGTCAATTACCTCACTACTACACAATCCGTTCTCGTGTAAACCTTTCCACTTGTAAATCACCCTCACGAATCCATAGCAAAGGGAATTGCGACTCAGAGATGCTGATGTTGGCATTGACTGTCCAACTGATCTCATCAGCGCAAGAAGTAAAAAAGGATGGTGTGGTGATATTATAGCACCCGAGTTTCCCTGCATGGGTCTTGGCACTTAGGCTGCTAGTGCTACTGTTCGCACCCTAGGCCCTGCACTGCTGGACCTCTGGCGCCTTGCGCATAACACATTCACATCAGGGATCTCAAAACGGCTGAGGTTGTGAACACCAAAGTTGGTGACAAGGCGCTCATGCGTGGACAAACGCAAATGGAATATCCACCGCAGTCGCAGGTCTTCTATTGTCTTCGAGCCTGCTGGCGGGCAGGTGCCGCGTTTCCAGGTACCACTGCGGAGCATGAGCGCCCCCTCACGTTTTTTGGCTGCGCACGTCCATCTTTCACGACGTCGCTGTAGCGACGCACATTGGACGATGGCCGTGGATGTTGTTCACGCTTTTTTCGCGCTAAAATCGCTAAATTGCTTTTTTCGCGCTAATTACTCGACAGTGCTCAACGCCTGTCTGTCCAGTTCGCTGGTTATATTGAGTTCCATATTGTCATTTATCCTCATTCTTCTGATGAAGTGACTCATGTCACAGAAACCGGTCAGGTTAAAGAACTTGGAACTCTCCTTGCTTGTGAGTGCGTGGTTGTTATGTTTTAGACTTCCCGTGTAGGACCTTCGCCGCTACTTCACTAGGGTCACCTTTCAAGCCGCCTTTCCAGCCAGCTTACCTTTAAAAGCCATTGAGTTTCACTAATGATTCATTCTCATCTTTCGAAGAGTTGGTCTGCCTTGAGCAGGACACAACATGGCGCAGCGAAAGACACGAACCTCTGTCAAGGCGAAGGCCGAGGAGGCAGCTGCAACCAACGACGGGTTGACAGAGCGGATGCAGCCAGGGACTCAGGAAGAAGGAAGCTTGCTGCAGTCTATCGTCCAATCCCTCAGCCAGCAGCAGCAGATTCTGCTTAAGCTCACAATAGCGCAGTCAAGCCAGCCCGCCGCAGCCGCACGCAGCGGCCCGCCACCATCCACCTCAAGACAGCCAGAGGCAGGTCTGTGGGCCCGGAGAGCGGAAATACCCCACCTGCCCAGTCCAGACTCGATAGACCTAGCTGGTTTCCTCGAGTGGAAAGTCAAGTGGTACGACTACGTGTCGTTGACTGGGCTATGCAGAGACGCAGGTACAGTTACGCAGCAGGCAGTTCTCCGTACAGCTCTGAACGACGGTTGGGTGCGGCTGTGGCAGGCGGGCATAGTTCCCATAGCCGCCGGCTATGATGAGCGGGTTGCCGTCCAGAAGCTGGAAGCTTTCCTGAGAAAACGAAGAAACCCGTTACTCGACCGCCAGGCCTTCCATGGCAGGAGCCAGAGACAAGGTGAGAGTATCAGCCAGTACTTCTCCGGTCTGTCTCAGCTGCATGATGCGTGCAGCTACCCAGATACCGGTAGTCTGCAGTGCGGCAGATGCAGGTCACTGTGCGGCCATGAAGCCCAACTTCGGGAAACCCGACTCCGCGACAGGCTCGTCTGTGGCCTAAGGGATCGAGCGATGCAACGACGGGTGCTCGAAGAAGAGTATGCCAGTGAGTTATCGCTCGATCGGGTCATGCAGATATGCTCTGCATACGAATCCTCTACCCATACGGAATGTGGCCTCGGTGAGCAGCTGCCCGTCCTGGCGTTGGCGGCGGCAGCGAAGTCCACTTACAAGCGTCAGCAGGTGCAGGCAAAGACGCTGAAGTCGGACGTAGGCACGTGAAGGTTTTGTGGGAAGACTCACCACAAGGGCCAATGCAAGGCTTATAACCAGACATGCCGCTTGTGCCTCAAGGTGGGTCACTTTGCTAGGGTTTGTCGACAGCTGACCTCGCCCTCACCAGGAACGGCGTCTGTCGACTCGCTGTTTGTCAACCAGGCTGGTCCTTCTAGGAACAAGCTGGTGACGGTCGGCGTCGCGATCCAGGGAGGATCGTCATGCGCTATCGGGTGGCTGCCGGACACGGGCGCGGATGTGGACGCCATCAGTCTGACCGACCTGGATGGTATCGACCCAAGCCTCAGGATGAATCTAGTGCCGAACACAGCTGATGTCAAGGCAGCTAACGGTACAGCTTTGGATTCCATGGGCAAGCTCGAGGCTCAGTTGTCTTTGAGCGACACTACGGCCATGTCGACTCTGCACGTATTCCGGCAGCTGAAGACACCTCTGCTCAGCAAGGACACGTGCATGAAGTTGTGGCTTCTCGAGGATGGATGGCCTCACTCCCGTCTAAGGGCACAAAGCGTGGCTAACATCTCCATCCCTCGGAAGCAAGCATCCGAAAACGCAGACACGTCAGTAGGTACTGCGTCGACGGCGGCGGAGGAAATCCGACGTACCTTGCTGGAAGAGTTTCCAGAAGTGTTCTGTGATACCCCGCTCAAGCCCATGAGCGGTGAGCCATTGCGCATCGAGCTCATCAACGGCGCGTCGCCATGCCGCCTGTATCGCGCTCGCTCTATCCCATTCAGGTCGCGGGACGCTGTGCAGAACCAGCTGTCCGACATTGTGGGCAAGGGCGTCATTGAGAAGGTGCCTGTCGGCGAAGCATACACTTGGTGCCACCCAGTGGTGGTGGTCCCTAAGAAGAATTCCAGTGAGCCGCGCATCACGGTGGACCTGACGGGTCTAAATAAATGGGTCAAGAGGCCGGCATACCCAACCCGAGTACGTCGGGAGGTCGTCGCGTCGATCCCAAAGGGGATGCAGTACTTCACCACCCTAGATTCTCGCCATGGCTACTGGCAGGTACCCCTCGACGACGATAGCACCAGGCTCACAACGTTCATGACGCCATGGGTTTTTTTTTTTTTTTCTACAAAATCCACATATCTCCAGACACTGGGGTGAATGATGGAGTGTGGTGGTGGGGCCCATTAAGCTCCGCCGACCAGAGGTCTCGG